CACCCACTGGCAGACGAGCCACGAGCACTTTTTTATATGTTCTACATTTCATGTATTTATGTAATACATATTCTACATTAAAAAAAATAATTTAGAATGAACAATAACTGCTGTACAAAGAGTAAAAAAAAAATAAAACATCCTAATGCAGAAAAGCTGCCTCGTTTTCTGAATTGTGCAGATGACCACTATCTTTCTTTCATCTCTTCTGATAAATTTTCAGTCAAATCGTTTTCTGTGTGCAAGATCAGAGCTAGAGCCCTGCATTTCAGCCCAGGCCCGACGGACCCCGACTTTTTTTTTTACACCCCTCTGGCCGGGCTTCGGGACAATTTTCACGTCATAGTTCAGACGCGGGTAGGGCCTCGGGCCTGTTTTAGGCTTCTCCTTATTTTTATATTTTAGACATCCATCAATTAGTGATGAAAAAAGATTGCCGTGCTGGTGGAAACAGCACGAGACCGTGCTACCGTGACTTTTAAGAGCGGCTCGACGGTGTTTAGTGTCCAGCAGCAGCATGTATGGTACGTGCCGTCAGCGCAGCTGAAGAGTTCTGCGTTCAAATGCACACAATAGGCTTAAGTTTGCCGCAAAGCATCGGCAAAAGTAATTACCATAAATGTGTCAGGGGGAAACAGTAAGGAGATATTTGAATTATCTACTAATAAACTAGTGTTTTCTGAGTCGGTGTCGCAAGGATGAAGTTGTCGATCCTGACTCGCCATCTCTTCATTAGACGCGCCTTTAGAGAGAAGTGCATCTTTATGGATTATGATTATAATGAAAGAGTTTTTGTTTTTGATTTGTTTTATTTCGTTAAGTAGTAATTTAAAGATTTCTATAGATATATTTATCATGTCTGTGAGGCATCTATTCGCTGAGTTTCGGTTAATTTTTGTGACACGCTCCTGTTCAAGACGAGAAGGCAGAAAGCGCATCATTCTTTATTTTATAAAAGCAGAATGTTTTGTTGATATTGTGATTGCACACAAATAAACGTAGACCCTTTACAGTTATGAATGATGTATTACTCTTACCTTTATGAGCAAAAATGACGGTGTATCCACTGAAAAAAAATGCAAGTGATCGCGCTGG